GTGTGTGTGTGTGTGTGTGTGTGTGTGTGTGTGTGTGTGTGTGTGTGCTCCTGCTGCTCCTGTGGGACTGTGTGAAGTGATTTGCGGTTTTCTAGGTGAGAAAAATGGGTCAATTTTTGATCTGGAAACTGGCGAGCAGGCAGCCCGAAGCAGCGGAAAAACGTCCCCTTCTGCATATGTGATGCTTTATTATACTTTAAACCAAACAAATATCAGTAATTCTAGATATCTATACATCAGCTAACACGCAGTGCTAATGCATTATGGTGTAATATAATGGTAGAATCAATTAGTTTGAGGTACGAACAAAACATAGAAGTGGTAGAAAAGTCCATAAAGAAACAAACAATGGAGACAATCCTTAAAAGGGACAACAAAGAAAGAAAACCTGCACTTCACCGTCGTCTCAGGATGTTGAGTCCATTATGTTCAACACAGAACTATTTCCCCTGAATTAACCGCACAGAAATAAAACACGTAGAACTCTCCAAGGTCCGACATTAGCAGCCGCCTAAAGATCGATAAACAACATAAATGAGGTCAGCCGCCGTTGGCCGGTTTCTACAAACTCTCATCACTGCGACACATTTTGAAGTGATTGACCACGTTTTGGTTTCCGCATCGATTCTGCACACAAGCGTGTGACCGTGAGTAACAGTGTCAGAAACCCTTTGATTGAGCCTCGACGTCCACCGGCAGAGAGAGTCTGCGAGTACGTGGAGTACAAAAGGGAAAATGACGAGCACGGTGGAAGGAAGGATTGACCCATAAGTGGAGCTGCACAGATAAGAGGGGGTGAGCACAGCGACTCTGGTAAATTATTACTGCTTCTTGTCCTTGATTGAGTTGTAAAAAAATCACATATCTTTAGAACAAGACCCCGTAGCGATGGATCACACCAGCCGTGCTCATAATATATACATATAGCAGCCCAAATAGACAATAAAAAGCACAGGAGCGATGCTAGTCGGTCATACATTGGTGGTGATATGTGTGCTGCCCAACGCCCTGCGGCCAGAGAAAGACGCTCTGTGGACAAAGGTCCTAAGATGATTTACTAAACTGAGTTCCTTCAAGAACTGCATAAAAAGCACGACCGTTAAAACTTGTGTTCACCAGAGATGTGCTCACAAGTCATTCAGCAGGAAAAGGCTTCAAGAAATAACAGATCTGACGGACATATAAACACCTGCCAAAGCACCCAAAACCACTTCTGTGGTAGTTCTCGCCACAGTACAGTAGGTGTCTCCAGGACCACATTTTGCCATGACGACACACACACACACACACACATGCACACGCACACCCACACGCACACACACACGACGACACTTCAGCGACTTCATCAGAAGGCAGAAGATCAGAATCCCTTTAAACAGCACGTACCGGATGATTTTATGTGCCAACATTCAACAACAACAAGCGGCCGACACTGTGGACTGAACAGGTCCAACAATCACAGCGTGTGTCTGCAACGTAAACAAACACCGTGAGAGGTGCGAGAGAGGGAGCAGGCAGAGCAGCACGGGGTCCCGATAGAGGAGAGTAACGTGTGCAGACTCACAGTCGGGACAGGCCTTCATTCTTCTGAAACAGCAGCTCTGGAAGTTGGCCGAGATGGTTCTTGTTGAGGCGACTGGAGGAACAGAAACACGTTGGATTAGCTAATGTTGATGTGAAATAGAAGTGTGTGTGTGTGTGTGTGTGTGTGTGTGTGTGCTCTCACAGTCTCTCCAGCTCCTTCAGCTCATCAAAGGCTCCTCTCTCCACGTTACTGATCTGGTTCTCCATCAGATGGCTACAATAATAAAAGAGACAAAGAAATGAACACTAAACACACATGAAGGAATATATTACTATTGATTCAGACACATATTCGTATAGTGGTCTGATCAACAAAAGGTCCTCATATCTTTATGTTCCTAAAATATAATAAAGAAAACAAAAAACTTTGACTTATTGTTATATTTTGCCTTTACAACACCTCATAGTAGCCCACCGGTGTAACACTCAATCCCCTCCTGACAGCAACGAGCCCCGGGGGCCCCCAGCGGACCCCAGCGGGCTGCTAATCTGTTCTGAGCAGGCCTCCGGGGGAGTCATTAGTTCCTGGCATGTCGTCTTTTTTAACACCTCGTGTCCGTCGCTGACGCTCCGCAACAGTCCCGGTCATCAGGTAAACACGGGAAAACCCACTCTCCCAGAGGGCGAAGTGTACCCGGGTCAAAAGGCGGCGGATGAACCCCTCCCTGTTGTAAATCTGACTGACACCGACGCCCGAAACAAGCACCTGTGTGTGGCTCGTGTGTCACTGCGGAGCTAAAGCATCACTCTGTGAACGGGTGAATGTGGCTGCGACTTACAGGACTCTGAGGTGTTTGAGGCCAGAGAAGTCCGCCTTGGTGATGACCGTCAGGTTGTTTCCATTCAGGTCGCTGAAAAACAAACAAACAGGACAACAGCAGATCAGAGAGCAGGGAGTGAAGCGGGGACAGGGGTCAATATCGGTGCGTTCAAAATACTCAATGAAATCTGAGAGACGTGCAAGGTGACATGGAGCAAAGAAAGAATGTTGATGCATGGTACCGCACAGCTCATTTTTTTGGTTTCCATTGGAAAATGTTGTGGATAGGTCGAGATTCAAGGACCACTGATTGGTCGATGCAGCATCCTCCGGTTCTGCTGAGTGAAGCCGAAACCAAAGCGTCTTAAAGCTGCATTCTCTCTAGTGTCCACCAGGGGGCGACTCCTCTGGTTGTATAGAAGTCTATGAGAAAATGACTCTACTTCTCTCTTGATTTATTACCTCAGTAAACATTGTAAACATGAGTTTATGGTCTCAATCTCTAGTTTCAAGTCTTCTTCAATACAGCATGATGTTCATTTAGTAAATTTAGAGTCAAGTAGATCATATCTGGAGCTACCAGAGACGTATACGGCGTCTCTACGTCACTCCTCCGCATTCCAAATATGGTAACTTGTGTGTGTATGATTAGTATTCACTTTATTTTAGCAGCCACGTGATCCATCGTGTATCATCCTCAAGCTCTATTTGTTCTGATAGTTTAATCTGAAGATGAAGCTTTTCAAGGACACTTTCTATCAACGTACGCTGTCGAAGTATCCGTGTACTGTACAGCCCGTTGTTTCTGCTCTTTCAAGTCATTTTCACTTTGCAGAGAAGAGAGTTTGTTTCTTTACTGTGTGAGTTCACTGCGAGGACAATCTGCATTTCTTTGTTTTGTTTCACTGTAAATCAGACAACGTCAGCTGAAAGCTGCAAGAAGAAGCAGGGACAGTGTTTCCTCTTTGTTCAGACGTGGAGCGTGAGAACGGCTACTGTCGTGTTCCTGCTTCCGCTCACACCGATCACGCTCTTCAGCTGCTCCCTGCATGACTTTAGTGCTGTCGCACTCGCTCCAAGTCACTCAAGGTGGAGGCGTCAGACAGTTTCCAGACATTTTATAAACACACTTGAGGTGTAAGCTGTTGTCGGTGCGTGTTACGTGATATTGTAATTAGGCCGGCTCTGTTGTCAACACTGGCTGCTCCCACACCGGGAGGGGTTCAACCCTCCGACCTCATTGTCTACTTTGATTGACAGCTGCGGAGAAAGAGAGGGGATGATGTCACTCTTCCAACGAGGCTTTGTGGAAGGAGAGGTAAACTGAACCTAGTGTGCATACCTGTGTGTGTGTGTGTGTGTGTGTGTGTGTGTCATGTTACTGTACTACTGTAAAGGGTGGAGCAGAGTGTGACCTTGTCCTGTCCCGTTTAAGAGAGAGAGAGAGAGAGAGAGAGAGAGAGAGTGGATGTTGTGGTCTGGGTGTCTGTGACTGGGATCTATACTTCACTCATGGAAATGCAAAGACAACACCTGCTACCACGAAGCTCTGCACTCACTAAAAAACTAAAAACCCAAGCCGGTATGATCTCAGATTTTGCTTTCAAGAGTTATTCTTCCATTTGTTCCCAGAGCAGTTTCTCTTCTTTCAGGACTTTTCTACAATGTATTGTTAAAGAATAGCTTCACGTTGTTTATAAAGTCTACCCTAATACAGAGATCACGTACACACATGTGCATTGTATTGGTTCCTCTCCACACTTGCTGTGAAAACACTCCCATGCTTTGTTTGTGAAAATGTAAGCAGTGGGAGACAAATCCACAATGTGATCTGAAGTTTAGCTGAAGACAAGCTGAGGCTCCAGCAGTCTGAGTTACATAAGTCACGTGGGGATCTTACAAAGCGATATTCTTTTTAGCGGGGCTAAAAACAAAAAGAACACTATCAACAGAATGAGTGTCGACGTTATGTCAAAGGCGTCTGTGTGTTGTCAATAATACATCTACGGACACTGTGTGGTTCAATAGTGTTGGATAAACTGCCATTTTAATGCCGTTTGTTACGAGCCGAGACTCCACCCTGACATTGTGATCAGGACCAGTACAAGCCGGCACCCTTTGCTTCGAAAAAGTGAAGCCAATGCTGATTCACCAGGTGCTAAATCCTCAGTGTGTGACTGAATGAAGGGTACACACAGGATAAACAACATGGAAGCAAAGACGTCTGTAAAAGTTCATCAACACCATAATTAGAAGACTGAAAACAACAACCGTAATGACAACATGCAACAGGATTGGAGAAGCATAACAACGGGGAAGTCAGAGATGCACATAGCACAAGTTCTCCTCTCTCCCGTACAGTGACATCGATGCCGTCACAACTTCCGCTTCCTGTCAATGGATTGGCGACGGACGCAGGTAATCGAGTCCAGTGTATCTCTTAAAAATGATCAATCCAGTTGTTGTTTTTGTATTGCTTTGGCTCTCGCAGCTGCTCCACAAATGTCACACGAGCTGGCACGGAGGATTGCAGCACTAGAGTCAAGGCTGTGACATTTATTTTGAAGTGGAATATGTTTGAAGGCCACGTAATCTCATCCTACTGGGAAAAGAAATATGTTTTTTGGAGGTCTTACAGTCTGAGGGTGGAGGAGGAGGTAGTACTGAGAGAGAGGGGGGGGGGGGGAGGCGCAAGAGATTGGCTGGGACGGAGGGAGGGAAGGATGGATGGAGACGGGTCGCGGCGGGGGGTCCAGAATCACTCCCTGGATGTGTGTGAAATCACCCCGACAGTTCGACCGCACAGGCAAAACAAGCATGAGGAGGGAGAGAGATGAACAGCGAGGCGATGGCCATGTTGTCGCGTACGGATATTCTGATATATACACACACACACACACACACACACACACACACACACACACACACACACACACACACAAAAACACACGAGTCTGAAAAATATCAGCCGCTGATTGCAAAGAAATCCTCAGAAGATTTGTCTTTGGGGGTCACGAGGAGGAGAGCGACACGAGGGACGAGAGGAACACGACTGCAGCCCTGATGAGGCGTGGTTAATGGAGTTTTGTGCAGCATGGCGGGGTCAAGGGTCAGCCGAGCGACAGACTCCCCTCGGGTGGCGACTCGGCCAAACAATAGCTCATTAAAGCAGAACGCGTCTCACTCACACACACACACACACACACACACACACACAATCACAGCCTCAGTGGGCAGCGAGGCAGTTGATCCGCTCAGCTCTGCTCTCCACTGTTAGATCTGACATGGAGGGAAGGGGGGGGTACGTGGTGTGGGTAGAGAGGAAAGATAAAGACATACAGTGAGTAGAGGCACTCATCCAGAAGTAGGGCCGAGTATCGAATCCTTTTTAAGCGCCATTAATTCCTCAACAGAGTCAAGTATCGAACACGGTGTTGTATCAGAAGAGAAGTTGTCTTTACTCGCATCGTCTGATCTAAATCCTTGTTTACGTTAAGATACAATTCAACTCTGATGCATTGATTCAGTTTGCGTCACACAGTCCTCAAACTGAGGCGCTGCTTCATATCAGGACCACAGAGTGTCTGTGAGAAGCGGACCAAGTCACAGTGACGTCACCCATTGGTCAGTGGACGGCCGCGTTGAAGTCCTGAGTTCGGCATTTTGGCCGAAGGGAGAGAATGCAAGTTTTAAGACATGAAGCATTGGATCCTGATCACATTGTCAGGGTGGGGTTGTCTTCGGTAGCGGAAAACAGCATTAAACTGCCAGTATTTATAGTCAAATAAACACATTTCCTACTAACCCTTTAAAAAAACAATACCGATTCAGAGCCATTGTGTGCCACCCTGGGCTGGTTTCTTTGGTCACATGAGAACAGAGCAACCGGTCCAAGACGTTACTGAGCTGGAGGTTTCTCAGGACCTTCATTTGTAAACGAACATCTGATTGTGACCAATGCCCCCCCACACACTGTCCTGCTGCTCTCGACCGTCATTCCCCCACCAGCAAAAGAAAACTACTGAAATGTTACCGAGTCGAGACAGGACTGCACTGCAGATGTAAAAGCAATCTTAGTTTTCACCCCCGCCCCCCATAACACCTCTTTCATATCACCATCCTTCCCTCTGTCACCTCCCCATCTACCTCCTCCCTTATTTGCCCTCTCCTCCCTCCTCCTGTTTACTCCCTTCATCACATCTTTCTCCCCAGATGCAGCACTGTGGATGTGACTACACACACACACACACACACACACACACACAGAGATCTAATGACACTTCATTAGCGGCGTCTGAGGGGCTGCGGGGGAAATGGTAAGATGATTATAAGAGATGGACAGAGAAAGAGACAGAGGGAGAAGCTGAGGTGGCAGGCATTGCTAATGAAACAAAGTGTGTGTGTGTGTGTGTGTGAGAGAGAGGGAGAGAGAGAGGGAGACAAAGATTGGGAATTGATATTGAAATGGAAGAAAAACAAAATCATTCGGCTACTTTACAACTCTTTCTAAGATACTATCTCAACACATGGAGGGCATTCTGTTTGTGCTGCTCACAGTAGTGGAAAAAACTAAGTTAAAACATCTATCATGTCTCTTTCCAGAGACAATGTCCAGGTTACTCGGGATAAAGCAAAGACATCTCTGTGGACAGTTTCCAAGTTTCCAAAGAGAAACAGCTGACAGTGAGGTCTGTGGGTCGTCCTGAGGGACCTGGACAGCTTCAGGAAGTCGTGTCGTGTGTTCACTCTCCAGAATGTAAAGTCGATGCAATGTCCTCAGAAGTGTGCTGTGTGTTCGCTGTTGGTGCTAATTCCTCCTCACACTCCATTAGTTAGCTACACATGATGGCACACACACATACTTTGCAACACACTGTACATGCGTTGCTTGACTGATATGTTTCTCAATGAATGACGCTCAATTTATATAACGACACATCCAGGAACAGAGAGTGTCTGAGGTCTGAGAGTGTGAGCGACTGCTATGTGCAGCTCTGAGTCTCAGTTCAGTTGCTTCTGTTTGAGTTGTGGGTATCCAGGAACCCGGCGCTGATGGTCCACTAGACAGACACATCTCTCACCTCCTCAGATACAGAAAGATGAAACATCA